GTATATAGTGCTTTGGTTTCTGTACTCATTTTTAGCAGGTTTTTTTTTGCAGGTGAGGGGTGAGGTCTTCAATTGATAAATCATTTTAACTACCATCTGTCTGTCAGCTCCTAAGCTGGAAGAATGACTTCTGTAATGACAAAAATATCTGGAGGATTCATTTTGTTTAAAGCTATAACTCCATTAATGTATTGAATTATTAATTGTGTTTAGTACTTCCTTCCTCTAGGATTGCTTGGTTAAGAAGGATTCACACAGTTAAGCTAGTTCTGGTCACGTAAGGAATAATGTTTTGATAAGCATTGCTGATGTCACTGGTCCAGCTCAGATGTTGCCTTTACTTACAGGTAGAACCGGTACCTTTGAAAGGGGATAACTGCTAGTAAATCAAAACTAGATTGAGAAACCTTGATATTTCTGTCATTGCTACTAAATTTTTTCCTTTATGAGCATTTTTGAGGATTCAGTTTTCAGTAGTAATCTTGCCAAGGAAAAGTTGAAAAGCTTAAAGAATCCTGAGAAGGAAACACCCTAGGAATGTAGCAGGACTTTGGCGTGCAGAGCTATCATTACATTCTTCCTGCTGTTTGTAAGAAGAGCTAAAAAGACCAGACAAATAATTGGCTTTCTCATTTAGAAGTTGTGAATAATTCAAGAGAGTGAATGAAGTGACTTTTTTAGTCAAATCTCTTAAAGACAAACATTGCTTCTTTTTTACTGACTACATTTCACTAGTAAACAAACACTGTAAGCCTGTTTACTATGTACATGCAATCTATCAATTGGTAAGGCTACAGGTAGTTTAGGGATAAGAGTAGCTCGTAGTAGTTCAGTTCCTCTTCTTTATAAAGAAAATGATAAAGTCGTCCAAACCTGAAACTTGCTAAAACTGTAGTTTAAGTTTTAATAGGTTTTGGGTTTTTCCGTGAATTGTAGAATTTTTAATAATTCTTCCAAGATCTGTGTGCAAGTTGCAGGTCTAGGATGCGTTTGTGAAGCTAGTGCACACATTAATCTTCAAAGTCTTTTGACAGGGAAGAGCAAAGAGAAAATAGAAATGACCCGTAACAGGTAACGGCAATTGTCTCGGCTGATACATGTCTGATCAGATTGTATCTTCTGATAAAATGTAAAATCTTCATGAAGTTGTCTTTACCCCTTGGTTATCAGTGTGGTGTATGATCTCTAGCTTCATGTGTACTCTGTTGTACTACTTTACTGAAGACAATTTCTTTCATCAGCCCATTTGAAATCCATTCAAGATAAAATGGTTACCTAAGTCTAGTCAGTAGCCTAATTACAACATAACTGTACCATATTTTCTGACCTCAGTAAGGCAAGGAAAATGCAGTGTAAATTCACGTGGTCCTTCAACTCCTTTCCTGTCTGTACAGTGTAGAACATTGATAGAAATTTTAGGATAGTTAACTTGTGTATGTAGTAAACAGAAATTAAAAGGTGAATAGAGTCTGATAGCAGTTACAGTTGTTTATTAAGCACTTGAATCAGAATTGGTCAGTACTCATGCCATTCTTACGCTGTCCTAGAGAAGCATCAACCATGCCTTTTTCATGTTTCTTTTTTAAGCCAATTGGTTTCTTTTTTTGTCTTTATGTTGTTGTGTATTTCAGTGCTGGTATCATTTTTTCCACTTAAGTTACAAGTCACACTTGTACGTGTCCCATGAGCCATCCTGTTTTGCCAAAGTCAAAGTTTTGATTTTAAACCAGATATACAGCCCTTAACAAGCATCCAGTCAGCGCACGTTGGATTCACAATGTTGTCTGGTGTTTTCATTGCCTAATATGTTATTGTATCCTTTTCTCTTTAACAGCCTCAAGTACTACAGCCTTCCAGCAGCCTTCCCAGTTCCACAGACCTCGCCCAGGGAAAACTAATAAAAATGCCACATATCGGGGCCCACAGTGAATATCCTAAACACGGTCTGCATGAAAATAGCAATCATCAGAATCAAAATGCTGCAAATGTCTCTCTCACAAATAGCCTGAAAGATGTAAACTCTTTAATGAGCATACAGTTAAACATAAAAGATGAGAATGCATCCTATTTGGAAAATTTGAAAAATAGAAATGTTGAAGACCCTGGAGAGGTGGCTAGTAATAAAGAAGGTTCATTACAATCTCATTCCTGTTTTCAGACCTCTATGCGAGCTGATGCTAGAGAGGTGCAGACTGAATTAGCTGTGAAAGATCAACCCTCATTCACAAAGCAGGCTTCTCGGCCAAAGACTTTAAGAATCGCAAAGCCCCCAAATGCTTTAGTGCCTCCTACGATGGCTGTTCTCGCACGATCTGCAAATCATTCCGCTGCTTCCAAGGAACGTGAGCTGCTACCATCAAGTAGTTCGACTCAGCTACAGCCAACGTCTAGTCAGGATAACCTAAAGGGTAAACAGAGTCAGAAAGTGTCTAAACTTCGCCCACCAACTATGTCCTTTGTTAAATCTAAGCAAATGAGCAGTCAGAAATCCACACCGGTATCTCCAGAGCCTCAAAACACCTGTTTGAAGACTAATATCCCAAAGCCACTGGTACAGAGAAAGGAAAACATGCAAATGCAGAACACCGGTTTGCATTCTGGGGATGGTTTGCCCTCTAATCGGCATGCCCGCCTCCCTAAACCAAAGACCCACTGAGAACGTAACTACATCTCACTGAATGATGCCATACATTAAACTACGTCCGATGTAGTACTGACTGCCTTTGAGGCTGTTTATCTACAGCCTGCAAATCCTGAGTGGATATTAAGAATATCATCTTTCTTCAGTGTTTGCATATTCCATCCTGTTATGTTCTGAGGCTCATGTTATGAGCTGTGCAGCTTCTCTTGAGAGTGTTTTATTGTATCTTAGGTCTGTATTAAAGGTTGTATAGCCCAGTGATCTTAGTCATTAAGAAAATACTGAAGTCTGTGGTGACCACAAATACCAGAATGCTGCACTATGTATTTCAGGATGGCAAAAATAATTTCTTACCTCTTTTTGAGTTATTAGACAAGGCAATTAGTATTCAGTTTAACTTCTTGGTTCTGAGTACTCTTTAGGTTAGAGTGGTGGAAAATTAGATTTAGTAGCAGATGTTTTATTGGCCATAATTCTGACTCTGTATTCCAGAAGCCTATGCAAAAATCCTTGTATTTATCATTATCTGAAGACTGACATATTTAATGTTGTTTAATCTGATGGGTTGGGTGGGTTGTGTTTGTTTTTGTTTCGCTGTAATCTGAAGTTGCTCTGTTCTTTATCCCAGTTTCACTGTTCACAGACAGTAAGCAGATTTCACAGGGTGAAACAAATCTTCTCTCTTGAACATCATAATTTGTTATAAGATTGTGGTATGTTTTTATTGTGCTGAATAGACACATTACTAGGTAGATTCTTGAAACGCAGTGCTAAGGATCCTTGTGCAAAACCTTCCAATGCAGGCTCTTATGAATTGGTAAGTAGGGAGCCTCTGGGAGTATGAGGTCCATAACACCTATGTCCAGGTTGCACAACATGCTTTTTAATATTTTTTTAAATTTTATTATACTACTTGTATTTATTGATTTCTGTTTAATAATGAAAGACTCTGAAGTACCTGACTTGAAATTTTGCACAAACTTTGCCATATGTGTAAGGATTTGAAACTATTTTACAGAATAAAACTTCTATTTAAAAAGTAACTATTTAAGAAAAAAATAAATATAACTCCACTTATTTGCTTTGAGCAATCCTATTATGTCCTAATCCAGAGCTGGTACTCTTAGGAGTTTTTCTGAGATGTGTATTTTGGTTTTGGGTTTTTTGTAAATTTTTTTTTGTGTGTTCCTAAAGAAGTGCATGATATCTGGGAAGGAGCTTTTTGGGGAAATAAAGCCAAAAAGAAAAAAAATTTTTCTACTCGCTAGGAGAAGTATTTTTTCTGAAAATGGTCTGGTAATATATGCTCATTATGGTGCAACTATGGGACCATGACACATGTGCTGTGAGTTAAGCATACGCATATCCAGTGAAGCTTTCCAGAAACTTATGTTATGTCCCATTTACAGTCCTTCTCTTCTTACCCATCACTGTCTCTTGGATGTTACCAGTTGGGTTTTTTTTTTTGTTTTTGAATTCGTTTTCAAATCATCAGCAGAAGGCTGTTACAATAACTTTGCTCAAAATCTGTTCTTGAACAGCATATAACATCAGTGAAATGAACATAATAATTTGTTCTAGGCTTTGGCTGTAGGACGTTGACATATTACAGTATTTTCTTTGAGAGAATAAAAGTGAATAGGTATAGACATTTCATAAATAAGTTCATAATCAACTTCTGTAATCCAAGCGCTTTAACTAGGGGTTTCCTGATGGATACCATAGTTGGATGGGAGAAGGAAAAGATACAATCTTCTCCCCTTAATTTCTCAGTACAGAATTGCTGTCTAAGAAAGTTTTTGGATTTGTCGCACTGTATATTCTTCTAATATGTTGTTATATATACTTATATTCTGACAACAAAGTGGAAAAAAGGAAACCTTGGGGGGAAAATGGGTAGGGGGGAATGTTCTATTTTAGAACTGCTTATATCAATCTGAAATAAGAGACCTGCAGGACTTCCTGTTAACTGGGGCGAAGACGATGTAAGCAAGAAGTAACAGGGGTAACATTAATTGTTACAGTTGATACAGGATCACAATAGCTACAATTCAAGATTGCTGTAACAATTATTCACCAGGAAAAATGCTTTCTTTCCTTGAAAAGCATTGAATTAGATGGCCTTCAGTGTAAGCATTTGGTTTTGATAAGAAAATGAAACTGACTTTTTATATTCCCTAAAAGTAGCTCCTGGCAGCTAACCGTGTTTCTCAGGAGTTTTAAAAACTGCTGAGGGAATGATCAGATTCCTGGTTTGTTTTCTGGTTCATGTAGATTTCTATAGAAGGTGGTTTTACTTAAGTTTACTTTTCTTGAAGAGAAGCTGATTTTATTTTTAGTTGTATATGATTTTGTGTAAAAATATGATTTTCACTTAATGGTATTGACAGAGATATTTCACCATGATTTCCTTTGCTTCTTATTGTTCTGAAGGTGTCATCAGCCTGATTTAGTGATGTTAAAATGTCTACGTTTACATTTAAAAGTATAGATATCTATCTATCTGCACCTTTACTGAAAATTAAGGAAAAAAGCAGAGAGATGATCAGGGTTTTCATAAAAAAGAAGATAGTTCTGAATTTTCTTTTTCCCGAGAAAAACAAAAACATTTATTCTGTGGGGGTGTTTTTTTGTGTTGAAGGAGCATAAGTAGATTATATTCTTTGTTATAGCATTTTCCTATTTTGTTCTGACAGATTAGTGAGACATTGAGCTGGAGACAGCAGGATTTGATTGCGGATGAGACAGATGCTAGCCTGACTTGTATTTGTATGCAGCTGCTAACCTCACATCTGGCTAAAGACAGCTACATATTTTGGCTCTTCAGACTTTACCAGGGAAGGCTCTGTTGCATGTATAGTAAGTCCAGAGTACGAGCAAAGCCTGCCAGTAGGTGGGCAACTGGAAGAGAAGTAGTGAAGTGAAGTTTGAAGCTTCACTTCCGTGAAGGACGGGGGTTCGGGGGAGATGGATAAGAGGGTGCTGTGTAGAGCTTGTGAAATGGGATTAAGCAAGTGTTTCCAGGTAATGTATCTACCTTGTTGAAGGTGGAGATATATCATCAGTGCTGGTGCAGATTATCCTAAATGCATAAATTAAGGGATATGATATCTTCAGGGTTTTTTTAAGGTTACTAAAACTGGTTTATTGCCATTTTTTTTGTTTTTGATTTCTCATTCTTTTGTGCAATATTCACAAAAGTATTAAACTACTGTTCAGTATGTGTGTACAGAGGCAATTATGTGTTTTAACAAGTGAATAAACACAAAAGAAAAAACCAAAATTGCACTTTAAATGAGCTTTATTGCTTGGAGTTGTGCCTAAAATAGTCTAGATGCCTCCTGCTGTGTGTGGCTTCTGTTTGAAACTAATTTCCCTGCTAGTGTCGCTATTTCCAAGGTATCTTCACATCACTTTCACAGAATTGATATGCACTCTAGCATGTTTAAAAACATTCATATAGTGTTCTGACTTTTTGTTGTGCAATGATTTTAATTTAACTGTGGAATTTTAACACTGATGATGCAGCCAGATTACCTTCCCTTTCCCTGAAGCTAGCACTTCCTACTGCCAGTCAAGGCTGATGGCAAAACTTCCCTCGGACTAGCATAGAGCCCTTGAAAGACTAATGTTCCCAGCATATGTTTTCGTTTGAGAAAAGAAGTGCAATATTACGTTTTAGACTTTCTTGAAATAATCAAAGGCCCTGAAAATCCAAAACGACACTGAAATTTTCATGCAGTTCCAAAAAAAGTGGGTTCGTCAACTTTACATCTTAGAGCAGTGAGAGTAGACAGCAACTAGACAGCATTGTAGGTCAGTAAAATTCATTTCGTCCTTGACCTAAATGCTGGTTTGTTGTAACAGTGCTAGAAAACTGAATACCATTTGCGTGATATACTTTGTTTGCATGTCACAACCATATGCACATTCTGAAGTGTCATACTTGGGTAGGTTGCATGTTGGGGTGGAGTATTTCTGATTTTGCACAGCACACGATCTTAATATGGACATTTTTTCTTGCCATAGAAATGGAAATCCGTTCTTGAATTGGGCTTCTGTAGCTATTCCTTATCTCTTTATAGTGGCTTTTTCTGAGCAGACTGGATTTAATAAATGATCCTGGTGGTAGGTCTTAGTGTAGTAGTCTTACAACTATGCTATCAAGGAAATTCAGTCACTGTTGTGGTAAAGCTGCTCACTGCTTCCTTAATTGTGAAAGCACCACAATAAAAATAATATAAATCCAGTGTCAGTGAAATCTTAAATTCAATACTAGCTAAAACAA